GGCACTGCAGGCAGAGGCGGGCTGGCCGGCTGGCTGGCAAGCCCTTCCCCACCAGCTCCGCCACCACCACCCCCAAGCGAGGCCTGGCCCAGCCTGACGCCCGAGGCGGTTGCTGCTTCCAGCCGGCCCCAGGTGCAGTGACGAGGGCGTGGAAGGAGAGCAACTGGGCTGGGCCGTGTCCGCTGGTGGGGAGGAGTTGGGGCCCCCTGGCTGCCCCGTTCCCCTTTTCCTTCCTTTTTTCTCTCCTCCCCTCTCCCCAACAGATAACATTTGGGGAGGAAGTGGCATGTAGGTCCCTCAGGCTTCTTCATGTCTCGCCTGAGGTTTTGGGCCCTGAGGTCGAATCCATGGCACAGGTTTTGCGGCCACTCCCTGGACTTTTCCTCCACCCACACACTCCGCAGCAACCGGGTTGTGGGTTTATTCTTAAAAATTAAAAAAAAATGCACTGGGCCGCATTACGAGCCGACCTGGGCCACGGGTTGGACAAGCCTGGTTTAGAAGAAAGAGGAAAAGAGGAGGGTTGTGAGCAGAACTTTGGCTGCAGTACTGCAGTTTAACCACTGTGCAACAAGGCTTCTTGTGATTGGCCAGCTTTTCTGGTTGAATATACCCTAGTGCAGTGGTTCTTAACGTGGGCGATAATGCCCCCCAGGGGGCGATTTCATTTTTCAGGGGGGCGGTAGAATGAAAAGGAGCGGCGTGGGGGCGCTGGGGCAGAAGGGGGCGGTAGGGGGGACGCTGGAGCGGCCAAACCTGTGAAGATGGCTGCAGCCTTTTTACAGTGTGCATGAATATATATTTTCCTCCAATTTTAATTTAGTTTCTAAATAAACAAACAAACAAACAAACAAACAAACAAACAAACAAACAAATAAATAAATAAATAAATAAATAAATAAATAAATAAATAAATAAATAAATAAATAAATAAAAGATATCATCACCGCGGGGAGGGGGGCGATTATAACTTCCTCAATGGCTCAAGGGGGCGTTTCTTTCAAAAAGGTTAAGAACCACTGCCCTAGTGCACTGGTTCTTAACCTTTGTTACTCAGATGTTTTTGGACTGCAACTCCCAGAAGCCTTCACCATCAGCTCTTCTGGCTGGGGTTTCTGGGAGTTGCAGTTCAAAAACACCTGAGTAACAAAGGTTAAGAACCACTGCCCTAGTGCAGTGGTCCCCAAACCTTGGACCTCCAGATGTTCTTAGACTTCAACTCCCAGAAATCCTGGCCAGCAGAGGTGAAGGTGAAGGCTTCTGGGAGCTGTAGTCCAAGAATATCTGGAGGCCCAAGGTTGGGGACCACTGCCCTAGTGTATGTCCCACCTGGGCTGGTACAATGCTAAAGAGGGAGAGAGAGACCAATTGCTAGAGTATCCTTGCAAAAATTAATGGCTCATATACTTCCTAAATCTGTATCTTACCTGTCTTCCAAAAACCTGATTGTGGGTGGGTAACAATCACATTAAATGGCGTGAACATCATTGTGCAGAAAAAAATAGGTTAATTACAACATAAAACAGTTTTTAAAGCAATTTAAAATGGTGATAGTGGGGGAAAAGGACAAATTGTACCACAAATCAATGTGCAGGCAAATGCCTCAGGGGTAAGGTTTAGCAAAGCTTGCCTTCAGCTTTCCAGAAATCTTATTCCAGAAAATCAGGCTTTGTTTTTTACTTTCCAGTAAGGCTGTTATTTCCACACCGAGACATGAACAGACTGTTCTCGGGGCAGAGGAGTTGATTGATCCCTTCTATGTGCCTTCAGAGGTCTAACTGTATAAAAGGTTGCTGATCGTAGTCGTCAGCTTGTGCCTTGATCGTCCTTGTCAGAACTTGTGAAACGGACCAAGAGATGGATAAGATTCTTCTCCTGGGTTTGTCTTTTCTGCTCTGCAGCATAGTGGGTGAGTCACTATGGAGTCCGTGTAATGAACATGGGTTGTAGCCTGGTTGTTTTGTACAGCTGATTTTTTTTTGCAGCTTCTTGAGTCAGTTAATGTCTTCCAAGGACTTCTCCTTCAAATCCTTGTCCTTCATAAGGATTTGGACAGCCCAGTCTGGAACATCTTGGCCCATCTGGACTAGCACAGCTCAGTTGAATCAACGGAGAAATGGATGAGCCGATGGACTGGATGCTTTGTCTTCATGCTCCCTCTTGCCCTGGCTCAGTGGTTTACGAATCTGGCTGGGTAGACAGAGGTTGGGAGTTTGATTGAGTCTCTTGTGAGAAGAGCCAGCCTGTGTGACCTTGGGCAAGCAGCAGCAACTCAGGCCACCTTCAGAAGAAGGGAATGGGAGCCCACTTCTGAGTAGTCTCTACTTTGAAAACTCTGAAAAGGGTTGCCGTCCTCTACTTTGAAAACTCTGAAAAGGGTTGCTGTCAGTCAAATTGACTTGATGGCACATGATTATTATTTATTAGGGTGAATTGTGAGATAACTTTCCTTGACTTGATGTCACATGATTATTATTTATTATGGTGAATTGTGAGATAACTTTCTGGCAGAGTTTCCCTCCTGGATGAACATAGACAAGGCTGGGATTTCATTACCAGCTGCCAGGAGAAGTCCTGTTTCTCAGTGTAGTAAGTGGCAACTAGAGCAGGCCCATTGTATGGGCTGGCAAGATTTCTTGTGACTGGCATACAGACACTAGGCTCCTGAGCATTGCCATGATGCATGATATTACAGCAGTAGTAGCAATGTCCCATTGTTTCAGTGTCTTCCCAAACAGTTGCATAGGTCTTAAGTCACTCTAGAAAACAGAGTAACTAAATACATACAGAACTCTATTTGGACCCAAAGGCAAGCACAAGATCTTCTGTTTGCTTCCCATCGTAACCCATCCTTATAATCTTTATGTCACCTTCATTCCCTTTCATTCATAGCTGAAGGCCTGGTGTGCAATTTATGCAGCATATCAGAACGTTGTTATGGAAATGAAACGAGAACCTGCATTACCAGGAAGAGGTACCCCTACTGCTTTACCACTGCCGTCTACACAGGTGGGTTTCCCAATGATTCTGACAATATTTTGCATTCGGGTGGCTCTTCTGAGGGCCCTTGGGTGATTTTGCATTCGCACAATTAATGCTATGTGACCCATGGTCTCCTCACCTAATATGAAACAGTGACAAATCCCAGATCATCCTCTTGTATCGTCCTGTGATTGCACTCACTGTCTCTGTGGCACTACTGATCTAGATGTGATTGGACTGCCACAATGTGGCCAATGATGGTGGATGTGATCCAAAACTCTCGAGGGTCATAGATGCCCCAGTCCTGATTTATATGTAATGCCTTCTTATAGTTTTGAAGGAGCAGATAGTCCAGCTCCAAACTAACATTGTTTCCTTCTTCTTCCTTTCTTCTTCTTCTGAACAGAAAGCAGGGACTATGTATATTATGGCTGTGCCGAGTATAAACCGTGTCTTACCTGGGAATCCATTCAATCAGGAAACAAAACGTACATTGTGAAATGCTGCAAGACAGATTTGTGTAATGGATTTCCTGCCCTCCGTGAAGAGGGTCGCCTTCTGGGGTCATAAAAGGTCGTGGATTCATTTCCCATCTTTTGCAAGTTTCCCCTAAATAATGGCTTTAATTGATCCATTTTCACTCATGAAGATGGACCTTTTGTGTTGTGTGGAAAAGCTTGGAGTAGAAACAATAAAAACGGCTTCCTCAAAAAGCATATTCAAATGCATCCTCCCTAATTTTATTTATTAATTATTATTTTTATGCATAGATGAGAAGTTACTGTTGTTTTGGTGTGATTGCCTCCATTTGGTTCATTTCCAGCAATCACTGGGATTGAGCCAAAGCAGATCCTGTGGCTTTATTTTTCCCTTTCTGTTCCAGTCTCCCAATATTATTAAGTGGCTTAAAAAGGGCAACTTAACCACTTCAGAATACTAGGAAATGAAACACGTCTTCTGCTGCATCATGGGGGCGGGGATAGAGGAAGGAAACATAATTGGGTTGGTTTTTTTAAAAAATACTTGGAAAAACGTAAGAAAAATTTCAAAACTTTCACCCAGAAGCAGGGAACAAGGGAGAGGATTTAGTTGTTGTTTTATTAAGGGAGGTGGGTCAGGTAGGCTCATTTGAGATGTGTATGTCATGTGGATGCATGAATTGCAACAGATTTCTACCTGAGCTTAAGCAACCCTATGTAGCTCTTTCCAGATTCCTCCAACTAAGCTGGGGGAGGGGGGACAAGACCACAATGAGTTAAGTATGCATATGAAACCAGAAGTTGGGAGTTTAGTTCTGTTGGGCAGAGTATGTGGAAATGCTGGTTTAAAAGGGGGAAAAATCAACTTTTACAGGCTATGGAACAGTCTAGACTGAGACCCACAGAGCAGATTAGTATTTTTAAATTTACAAGTGTCTCACAGTCACACCACCACTTATAGTATAGTTCAGTTTTAGTCAGATTTACCTCACATTACTTGAGTTTAGCCTCCACACAATCTTGCTACAAAGAGTCTGGATTACAAAAAATAAAAATGTTTATCTTTATTTACAAAAATCTTAATATTGAAATACAAACCAAAACATGCTCCCTGGTTATTTGTTGCGGTGTCTTAACTTCCTGGCTTCATTAGATGGTTCACGTAGCTTACTGGTCACATAAATATTTCAGAACATGGACATGACTAACCTGTCTCTAACATTTCTAAATGCCAACATACCCGCTGACACATTTCTCAAAAATTGACACTGAATATTGGCAGACACTGACTGAGGGGGAAAAGGCGGGAAATAGAAGCTGAGATGAAAATGGAAACACTTGGTTACCCTAAGTAATTGACATTTATCCAAAGTCCTTCCCATTAAACACTCTGAAAGGCACAATATCAAAGGTTGGGAGTTCAATTCCTCATGGAGTTTTCCAATAGAATAGCAGGTTTTGTTCGAGAGTGCCTTGACAGTCCCCTAAGAGCCGATGTTAAAAGGTCTCCCCCCGCCATTGGTCTTGCACCTGGGGGGGATGTATACCCATGTGGTTGCCAACTTTGAGTGCCCAGCAACAGTCTGCAAAAGGTGGGCATTAGCTGGCAAGTGGGTCGTCTGATGCAGTGAACCACTCCTTATATGCTGCACCAATACTGTTCTACAACAACCAACTCAAGCTGTGGCTTTATATTATCCATCAACAATTTATTTTCCATGAACTAATGAAATTGTTATTTCCGATATGTGTCTGCGGTGGGAATGCTCTGGGTCATTTTGCCTGGATCTGCAAATATTACTGATAATTTATTGCAGTTTGGAAAACTACAAATACTTGATAAGGTGAAAATTGAAAATGAACATCCCTTTTTGGAAACTAGCAAAGTCTGAGTGTATATGCATAACTGGCTGATTTGACAACCCCATGTTTAATGATGAGTAAATAGATTTCTGTATAAGGCATAGTGACAAGTTTTTCCGATTCTCAATGGCCCAAATTTTATAGCATTTAATGTCTAAAGAATGTGCCTTACAAGTTGTCAGGTGCTATTGTTTTCCTGTTCTTTAAACTACTGATGTTCTCTACATGTTTAGATATTTTTTAGTTTGTAATTCCTACTTTACGCCACAGGAAAGTATTGAACAGCAGGCCACTAGTGTAGTGGTTTGAGTGACAAACTTGGATTTACGAGGTGTGGAGCATCATGTCATCAATATGCTGACACCCAGCTCTACATCTCCTTTTCACCAACTGCAGGTGACGCCGTCCTGTCCCTTCAGCGCTGCCTGGGGACTGTACTGCAGTGGATGCAGGAAAATGGGCTGAGGCTGAATCCGGACAAGACAGAAGTTCTGAGGGTGGGGGCTCCTTGCCTCTGGAACAATCTCCCTCCGGAGATTCGCGCGGCCCCTACACTGGGTATCTTTAAAAGCCAATTAAATACATGGATGTTTATTCAGGCCTTCCCTCCAGTCAATTCTTTCTTCTCATTTTTTTCTTTATTTTTTAATCTATTTTTCTGGTTTGTAAATTCAGTACTGTAGATTGTAAATTCGAAGATTTATGTAATTTTGTGTTATTTTATTACTTGTCTATGTTATATTGGAAGTCATCTAGAGTGATCATATAGACCAGATGGGTGGGATACAAATCAAATCAAATCAAATCAAATCAATCAATCAATCAATCAATCAATCAATCAATCAATCAATCAATAAAGGCTGCAATTTCACTGGATTTGCAGGTGGTGTTTTAACACCCATCACACTAAGCCAGAAACACCCCCCTTTGTAACACAGGATAGTTTCTGCATCACAGGCCTAGAGACTAAGGATGTGAATCCTGCAGCATCACCTACAGTGAGAAATGGAGTTGAGGAAAACATTTTTTTCTTTTAATCTTGCAGTAAAATTTGTTGGTGTGAGATTTATTTTTTCCCCTTCTTTCAAAAATCTCACCGGATTTTTTTTTTAAAAAAATCAATATGTACAGAATTATTACATTTGGCCCTCATAACAGAATTTTTCGTGCACAGGATTCCCCCAACTAAGGTATTGGGCTTATAAAACAAATAAAAGCACAACCTGAATTTCAGTCCACGTGGAGCCGAGGGATCTGTGTGGTGCAAGTCTCTGTGACTTGGCAAGATTTGGAAAACCACTGAATGTGTGTGTGTGTGTTTAGTCGTTTAGTCGTGTCCGACTCTTCGTGACCCCATGGACCAGAGCACGCCAGGCCCTCCTG